GGTACATATGTGGGTAAGTAATTACCTACGTCGTGTACTTGGAGAACTGGGGGGAAATGCTGCCGGATTTTCCTTAAAATTGGAAATCTGATATACATTCACTAGTGAGAGTAAACGTTCAAGGATGGGTTAGGTTGGAGTGATAAGGACCCTTTGGAAGCATATATGCATTTTTGTATCTATATGAATGTTATATGAATGTTGTGTGTTTGAATTTGATTTGTATATATAATAGATGTAGCAATTATACATTATTCGTAATATGTTGCCATGTTTAGAGACAATTTACTTAATGGAGAGGGATCGTGGATGGATGTATGGTAGACGTGATACATTGGAATTCTTTAATGGGGTTCAAGAGTTCTGCGAGACGGCTTCATCTTATCAGCGCAGAATGGGTTTCGAGTGACTCTATTGTCCTTGTGTTGATTGTAATAATGTGAAGGTGGTCAATAGTGTTGATATCATTAGAGATCATGTAGTTTGTCGTGGGTTTAGGGTTAAATATCATGTGTGGATTTGGCATGGTGAAGAAGGAGAGTACAGTGGGGATGTTATTGGGTATGATGTGCATGATGATAGAAGAAATGATATCCGTGTGGACGAGGAATACAAGAATGATGAACATATTGATGATGATGGTGCTGAGGAGGGATTTGAGGATGATCATGTGGATGAGGTTGAGGATGAAGGTGTGGATGAGATGATGCGTGGTTTTGAAGGTGACGTGTTTGAGTCATTATCGGAGGCTTCTAAAAAGTCTTTGTATCCTGGGTGCAAAAAATACTCCAAACTATCAGCCGTGCTAACTCTTTTTAACATTAAGTCGAAGCATGGGTGGACGGACAGTAGTTTTACTTCCTTGTTGAGCGTGTTAAGTGAGATGTTTCCAGATGGGAATGAAATTCCTAAGTCTTACTATTACGCTAAGAAGCTCATGTGTCCATTTGGTTTGGAGTATAAGAAGATACATGCATGTCCTAATGATTGTATTCTTTACCGAAATGAATATGAAAAATTGGAGGAGTGTCCAAGATGCAAGAAGTCGCGCTACAAGCGCAAGAGTTGCAATGCTGGTACGAAGGGACCTCCTGCTAAGGTGTTGTGGTATCTTCCCATAATTCCTAGGTTTAAGCGTCTGTTCTCTTTACCAAAAGACGCTAAAAACTTGAGGTGGCATGTAGAGGGAAGAAAGAAAAACAGAATGCTGAAGCACCCAGCCGACTCCCCGCAATGGAAGAACCTTGATATGAAGTTTGGGGAATTTGGTGATGAAGTCAGAAATTTAAGGCTTGGTTTGTGCACGGACGGGATGAATCCATTTGGCACTCTTAGTACCCAACACAGCACATGGGCGGTACTTTTAGTGATCTACAATTTGCCTCCTTGGTTATGCATGAAACGGAAATATGTAATGCTTTCACTCTTGATATCGGGGCCAAGGAAACCTGGAAACGACATTGATGTGTATCTTGCGCCATTGGTTGATGATTTGAGAAAGATGTGGGACAAAGGGGTTTCCGTGTTTGATGCTCATAAGAATGAGATGTTCACATTGCGTGCAGCTTATGTGGACCGTTAATGATTTTCCTGCATATGGCAACTTGTCTGGGTATAAGAATAAAGGGAAAAAGGCATGTCCCATTTGTATTGATGATACGCCAAGCAGACGCCTTGATCATTCTTTCAAACAGGTGTATTTGAGGACAAGAAGGTTGCTCAGGCGCGATCACCCGTACCGTCGGCAGAAAAAGGCTTTCGATGGGACGGTGGAGGAGGGGACTGCTCCTAGGCCACTGACTGGTGAGGAGGTTTACGCTCGGGTCAAGGGTGTACGAACAGTATTTGGGAAATCTAAAAAAGCGGCGGAATCAGTTGCTCTCTTTAAAAAAGAATCAATCTTTTGGTTGCTCCCGTACTGGAAAGAACATAACGTTAGGCACTGTCTTGATGTATTGCATATAGAGAAGAATGTGTGTGACGCTCTTGTGGGAACGCTGATGAATATTCAAAACAAGACAAAGGGCGGAAAGGGTGCACGTTTAGATTTGGAAAAGATGGGGGTGCGTCCAGAATTGTGGGTTCAGCAAAGGGTTAGTAAGGGAAAGGAACAGGAAAAGGAAAAAGAAATGGGTTCGAAAAAGGGAAAGGGGAAGAGCAAGGGAAAGGGAAAGGTCGTGGATGCGTCGAAGAAGAAAAATGAGGGAAAAGGCAAAGAGGGGAAGGCCTATTTACCTCCGGCTTGCTACACATTGTCAAGGGTAGAAAAACGGAGGTTTTGTGAAAGTCTGTATGGCATTAAGGTTCCATCAGGGTACGCATCTAACATGAAAAGATTTGTATCCTTAAATGGAGAATTGAAGCTGACAAGTATGAAATCCCATGATTGTCATGTTCTGGTGCAAGTTTTTCTACCAATTGCAATACGTGGTATTTTGCCAAAGCACGTGAGGGAAGCTATTACAAGGGGAGCAAAGTGCTTGATCCTTGTACCCTTGATGCTTTACAGGAGGATGTGGTTGTGACTTTGTGCAAATTTGAGATGTACTTCCCGCCCTCGTTTTTCGACATAATGGTGCATTTGATTCTTCATTTGGTGCGTGAGATTAAGTTGTGCGGTCCAGTGTTCTTGAGGTGGTGCTATCCTTTTGAAAGACACATGGGTACATTGCAAGATAAAGTTAGGAATCGGGCTCACCCGGAAGGAAGTATGATTCAAGGGACCGTGGCCGAGGAGATTGGTAATTTTGTGGCCGACTATATAGCCGTTACTGAACCTATTGGTATTCCTACTTCTCGACATGAAGGTAGACTTGATGGTCATGGCACAATCAGGTCGAAACGAATGTCACCTGATCGAGAGAAGTTCTTACAAGCACACCTATATGTGTTGCACCATGTTGCAGATGTTCACCCATATTTAGACGAGCACATGGCTAGTTTGCGTGATGAGTTTTCGTCGAAAGGTGAAAGGGCACTGATGTAGTTGCACGATAAGAAGTTTGTGAGTTGGTTTCGTGATCGAGTGATGGGTGGAATGGATGAGAGTGTCACAGCTACAGTAAGGTGGCTTGCTTATGGTCCTAGGGATGATGTTCACTCATTTGAGGGATATGACATAAATGGGTACACATTTTGGACTGAGCGTCAAGATTTGAAATCGTGCTCGACCCAAAACAGTGGTGTGACGGTTGTGGCATCGTCAAGGGAGTTTGCAAGTGCTAAGGATAAATCACCCGTTGATGCCGAGTTGTCATACTACGGTCGAATTCAAGAAATATGGAAGCTTGATTATTGTGACTTCACGATTGCTCTTTTCCGGTGTAAGTGGGTTGATAATATCAGGCATAACGTCAAATTTGATGACTTTACTCTTGTAGATCTTGGCAACCTGAATGATAGTGCGGAACCATTCATCCTTGCATCTCAAGCTAAGCAGGTGTTTTACGTATCTGACCCTGCCGACTCAAAATGGTCTATTGTGCTAGCCGGGAAAAGAAGAATCCTTGGCGTTGGAGATGTCGAGGATGAGGAAGAATATGATGCCTTTGATGACTCGGCACCTTTCACTGTTCCTAGACCCGCTGTGCCAAATGAGATAGACGACCAAGCCAATTAAATGAGATCAGACCACGATGAAGGAATATTAGATTGAGGTACTGTATATTTTCCGTTAGTTTGAATTGTAGGCGTAGAAAGAATAAAAAAAAATCACATTTTAGGTGAAAATGAATGAAATTGTTGAATTACTTGCCCATTTTTCTTATATTCTTTTAAATGAATAAAGTAACTTGCATCACCATTTTCAAAGTTTATTTGTATTATAATTCAGCAATTTATATATGATTATAAGTTTACCTTACAATTCAGCAGCTAATAACGTGTTATGTTTGTAATGACAGGTTTTAACATCTAATGGCGGACGATCGATTCCGTGTTCGAGTTGCGGATGTTGAATCTAACTCAGATGATTCATCTAATGATGGGGACCAGCCGTATGATGTGAACAAGGAAACTGATTGGGTGAGCCAGAAGATCAGGCGCAAGATGTATTGGAGAGAATGATAGATGACTTTGAAATTGCAGCTGAGCAAGCGCCTCCAATCGATAATGCCATTATGGAGCCGTTTCGTGAGGATCAAAGTGGAGCGGGGGTGCAGGCACCAGCGAAGAAAAAGCAGAGGGGTCCGACGACAGCTTTCAAGAAACCTGTCGGTCCTATGGTCTTGGAGTATGACAGGGTAGGGCAACCCTCAGGTAAATGGCGTCGTCAGTATGCTGGTCAAGTTGGGATTTGTGCGCGCAAAATCCCCATTACGCTTCGTATGAGCGACGTACCTACAGGCTTGATTGACACGTTTTGGAATGATACTAGGGTAAGTTTGATTTGATGTGATTATTTATAAACAATTTCAATTTATTGTTATGTTATGGGCAAACTAATAATGTTTGTTATTTGTGCTTGCAGAGTCTATTTAACATTCCAAATGAGTACGCCAAGCGAAGGGTGTTTGAATCCTTACTTGCGACAAGATTCAGAAGCTTCAAGTGTAACTTAGTTCGTCGGTTTATCACAAAGAAACTTGTGAGGAAACTAAAGAACAAGAAAGGAGGTGGCAGTGATGATGATGTCATCGATGAAGAGAAACTCCCTTGGCAAATATGGCCTAGCATATCGAAGGATGATTGGGAGGCTTTCGTTCATCAAAAATGTAAAAAAGAAGAAATTGTAAGTTTAAAGAACTCTGATGAAAATTGTGTTGTAATTTATCGTCTTTTTTATTAGTAATAAAACTAACATATATATCTTTTTATGTAGGAAATGAGGGAGCAGAATTCCAGGAATCACTAGTAGAAAAACAGAAATAGGCAACCCCCCTATGGCAACGGTTCATGAAAACCGTTGCCAACTCTACCCCTTTTTTTTTTTTTTTTTAAATTGGCAACGGTTCAATTGATTAAATTATTATTTATTTTTTAAAAAAAGGGGTAGAGGTTGGCAACGGTTAACCGTTGCCAATTAAAAAAAAAAAAACCCGTATATATACATGATTTCCTTTCTGCGCTCTCTTTCTCTTCTCCTTCCCCTATTCCCCCTGTTTCTCTGAATCTCCCTAACCTCTTTGAATCTCTTTCTCTTCTCCTTCCCCTTCTGTTTCTCCTTCCCGTTTCTCCTTCCCCTTCTGTTTCTCCTTCCCGTTTCTCCTTCCCCTTCTGTTTCTCCTTCCCCTTATTTCTCGTCTTTCTCGCCTTTTTGGGGTAATTCAGATCCGTATTTTTTTGGGGTACGAATTGCGGAAAGGAGGAGGCGAAATACGAGGCAAGAGGTTAAGTTAAGTTATTTTTTGTCTTTAATATTTCATTCGGTTATTAGATTTTGTCAAATAATTTTACAGTTTTTTTGGTCAAAATTGGGAAAAATCGAACAAAAAAACCCTAAATTTCGAATTTGGGAGTTTTCAATTCGGTCCATTATTCTTGAAATTGTTTGTTCCATGTTGTTATGCTATGTTTAAGGAGTGTTTTGCAACAAATTTCATGAAAAATGGTTAAGTATTAAACCTTGTATGAGCATGTCTTTGTTCGAGTTCGTTCTTTGTATAAAGGTAAGAAATTTGTTTTACTAGAGTCCTTTCAACTCTGATTGATGGATGGAATACGAATACTCGAAATATAGCTCGTTTCGTGGTGTTGAGTTGGGGGTGATAATGTGAATGTAAATCATGGTTATTGGGTCTTAGAGTACCCCTAATTGGTTTAGGAAAAAGCTGTGGATTGTCAAGATAAGTGAGAAATGTGTGTTGCTGAATTTGCTATCAACTACGGTTGAATGTTATCAGCTGGTTTTGTTGATGTGAAATTCCTCTTGATATCTTATCATTTACACTCTTTAATTATTGCGTTTAAGGTGGTTATGGGACGTGGAGCTGTCCACTGCGCTAATTTATGCATCCATATGCACAAAGAAAGAGACACATTTATTAGAATTAGACGCGTAACCATATTGTAGCTTATGCACTGTTTCCCTGATGGTGGATTTTAAGAACAAGGCTCTAGATGCTTTGTTTATGTTAGATTAAAAACAAATCAGGATCATGCAGCAGACAAACTAAATACGGAGGATGGTGACGCCTTTATTGATTCTTTTTATTTAAATGCAAGCAGTAAGTTCAACACTATGTTCATTTAATCTAGTTTCAGAAACATAATGTTGCACTTATTTGGATTTGGATCTTTTACATTAAACTCAATTTTATACTGTGAATTTAATAATAGCTCTCTTGTTATATCCTGCATACATCCAAGATTCATGACTTGCAATAGGAAAAGTTAGGTTTTGGGGCTTGAAAACTCTCTGATGCTAAACAAATAATTCTGTGAGATATTGGGAGAAAGGGAAGATAAAATGACATGAAGGTTACACAAGTTATCTTTATAATCTTTCCATTGTTATCCTCGAGATCAACTAGGAGTTTCTCCAAGTAGTTATATGACTCGGGTTGGATCTGGTTAAAGGGCAAACAAAAATGGGTCTGATTGCAGTTATTTCTGACAAACCTTGTGAATATTAGTTAAATTGCTTAATCTCATTTTTCTTTTCAGGTTCTGAGTCCCTGGCTGATAAATGGTGAACATTGAATTTAAGTGTCGTTACTCTTGTTGGTATCCACTTACTGCATAAAAAACAGTAGAGGAAGAAATGGTGTCCTTCCAACAAGTGTATTATTCCGATAGAGGGTTCAGAATTATTACAGAGCTAATTCTTCAGTAAGGTCAAGTGATCGGAATGCCTAGGTGGAGGCCGCTTCCGATCAGTAATATCAAGGTACAATTGATATTACAGCTTAATCTTAACTGAACCCTTCGGGTCGAACCCAATCGAATCTCCGATCCGAGACATCGAATTAATCCGGAAGGATTTAATGAGTCGACAGAGTTTTACGAATACAGACGTCGGATATCGAGCCTAGGGCGTCGATACCGAGCGTCAAAAAATCACAAGCGACAAGGATGAGCATAGTCGTAGCTAGGCTAGGCTAGCTCATCACAAGCCTAGGCGCACCATGGTGTGCTAGGCGCGCCATGCGTGCTAGGTGCACTAGGCTGCCCATCGCAGCACCACCTACGTGTGTGCGTGCCTTCGTATGGCACAACAGCACAGCAGCGTGCGTGCATGGATGCTAGGCACTATCGCAGCACTATCGCACCATCGCATGGCTAGGCCAGTGCATGTGTGCGTGTGCTTGTGCCTTAGCATATCGCAGCCCTAGCATGATGCTAGGCGCCATCGCAGCACCCTAACACCACGCACAGCACCATCGCAGTGCTAGGCGCATGCGTGTGTGCCTAGCACCAGCACCAAGCACAGCCATCGCAGTGCTAGGCACTGGAGCATGTGCGTATGTGTGCCTCGCACCAAGCACAGCCATCGCAGTGCTAGGCTCTGGCGCATGTGCGTGTGCGTGTGTGTGCCTCGTACTAAGCACAGCCATCGTAGTGCTAGGCATTGGCGCATGTGCGTGTGCGTGTGTGTGTCTCGTATCAAGCCAAGCATAGTAGTGCTAGGCACTGGCTGATGCGTGTGTGAGGGATGCATGATGCGCAACATGGATGGTGCGAAGGAAGGGGCCAGCATGCGTGGCTCGCTAGCAGCACGCATGCTGGCTGTGCTAGCGATGGCGCGCGCGAGGAGGAGTGTGCGTGGGCTGCTGGGGCCAGTGCCAGCACTAGGTGCTAGCAGCGCCAGCACACAAGCACCAGCACCAGCCCAGCAGCAGCATGCACTGGCTGGCTGGGTGGGTGCTGGGCAGCAAGGGACTGCTAGCTGGCACGCTAGCTGGCAGCCAGCTAGCCCTCCCCTAACTCGGTTTGTTCAAGGGAGTGGGGACCAAGTCTAGCCCTTGGGGAGCAAGGCAATGGTCCCCCCCATGGGATATGGTCCTCACCTAACCCATTCTCTCCTCTTGCCACTTGTTGGCTTGTGATTGCTTTTGCCTAATTATTTATTTTGGAATTAAATAAATTATTGCAATTGCACATGATCCCACATTGATCATGAAAAGGGGTTTCAAGTCCCCATTCTCTATAAATACCCACTTGGTTGGGATTTTGAGAATACAACCTTGAGTGGAATTAAAAAGGCAACTCTAAGAAAGAGTAAACCTTTGATTCGTAAAACTCATAGTTATTTTGTCTGGGCCTCGACTAACCTTCGAGGCTTAGGACGCTCGGGTCGGGTTCGTGGGTACGAACCGTCGGAGATCTCGTGCTTTCGGGATTTTGAAGTAAGAACTCTTTGGGAGCGAAGCACGGGTCAAAGGTATAATTCTTGTCATTAATCTTGTACGATTAAGTTTATTATGCTTGTTTAATTGCTTTAATTAAGGGGCGGGTCTTGGTGGGTTTCCTTCCGCGTAGTGCCGGGTCACTACGAAACCCTACAGCGGTATCGGAGTCACGCTCCTTTTAATTTTTGCAATTATTGTTTAATTAAGGTGTTTTAAAGAATTTAATTTTCTGGTTCATGTTCATCTAATTAGATTAGATGCTCGTTTTAATTAATTTTAAAACTCGATTTTATTATCGATTTGGCTGTGAATTTTGGGTGGAATCGACATTTTGGAACTGTTTCAAACCTTATAGGGTTGTCCAGAAGCCAAATTCGAAACCAGAAACCCATTTTTTCTGGGGTTTTTCATTTTTAACGAAAGTTTTAATTCCTTTTAAGCCTTGATTAATACAAGCATTACAAGGTTAGATTAAATGCACATTTGCATCACTAATCTAGTAGTTTTAAAATATCCTTGAGCATAATAATGGAATGTTTATTAGTGCTTAAGTTGATATACCAAGTAATCACATAAACTAGTTTTTCACAATTTTGCAAATAAATTGCAATAAGGTGTGAAAACTTGTTGTGATTTTGTTTTTTAAGTTCCCAAGTAATGTTAAAGTTCTAATCTTTAAATGTTTAAATGATTGGAACCCTAACCCTAAATTCCATGTTGAACAAAGTTTGGATTTTTCATGTTTTGGTTGATTAAAATCCATCAAAGTTCAATTACTTGTGAGTAAAATTTGATTAATTTTCATATTGGAAGATGTAATCTTGGTATTTTACACAAGTATGCAAGTTGGAAAATTTTATCATTGGATGATTAATCTAACTCTCCAACTCCCTTTTGTCAAATCAATGATTAATTTGCATATTGGCAAGATTAATTTTGGACATAGCTCATTTTTATTTTAAGCATAAAATTTGACCTAATTTTTGTTCAAAATTGAAATTTTGGATAAATTTAGGCTTGTGCACCAATTAAAATAAAATTGTTTAAGTTAGACTTAACATTTGTTTTTCCCTCAAAATTAATTCTAAAATTTGATTTAGAATTGATTATTGTCGCACACAAATCGGAATCAAATTTCGAGTAAAAATGCACGCAAAACGATGCAAAACCGCAAGCGACACCAAGGCTAGCCGGGCTGCCTAGCAGCCCACATGTTGGCTGCCTGTGGTGCGCGTTGGCATAGCATCGTTGGTGCGTGGCAGTGTGGCAATGGGAGGGATGTGCTGCCGTGGTGCTAAGTGCATGGCAAGGCTGCTGGAACTGCTTGTGCATGCTGCTGGGCAGCGAGGAAGCAAGCCCCAGCCAGCCTGCCAGACGCTGCCAGGCACCAGCTAGCAAGCATGCGCAGCATGCGTAGCGAGCTACTAGTGCTAGCTGGCGCAGCATGCCATGCTAGGCATGGATGCTGGCACACAGCACAGCTTGCGCAGCATGGGTTGCCTAGCACCATGGGTTGCCTAGCACCATGATGCCATTTTGCTTAACGTTGAGCTATGATTTTGCGATTTTTCCTGTGTTAATAATTTTGATTAATTATTTTAACGAGGCTAAAAACCTCGATTTTCGATTTTGCAAAATTTTGACAAATTACGGGTTATGCCGACTTAATTAATCGGATTAATTAAGTACGGATGCGGAATTTAGTGGGAGCTTAATTAAATGCGTTAGCATTTTGCGTTTAGAAATAATGGATTAAACCACTTTGACTAGTTTTAATTAGGCACGTTAATTGGATTAACGACCTAAGTTAGTTACTAGTTTTGTGTGTTTAATTATGTATTTCGTAAAATTGCATGGGCCGTTCACAAATAGTGAACGGGTGAATGAAAGATTGTTTTCAAAACAGGTTGTTTGAAAATGGCAACTAGTGGGGCCCGACTAGGATAGAAAATACGGACTGCGTTCCGTTATGTATTTTTGTAAATCTAAATACGGTCTGCGAACCGTTAAGTATTTTTGTTCTATTTAGATTAATCTTAGTCGTTCTAGCTAGCTTCTTTATTTCATTTTGGCCAAGATGTCTCAAGACGGCGTTTCGATGAAGACGAGCCGAGATGAAGACCCATGGAAATTGAAGATTTCAAGGGGTCATGCTAGTTGCCAAATGCATCTAATTTTTATGCCTTATATATTGTTATTATATATATGTTTGCTAGATGCTTGTCTAGGATTTCTATGGCGTTGTGATGATTAGTTAAGTTCACTTAAATCAACCAACATAGAAACCCTAGGTCCCTTAATAATATTAAGCTAAAATTTTCCATTCCAAGTACAACACTTACCGAACTAATGCGCGTACGTGATGGATTACGCCAAAGCGAGGCATCACTACTTCCCTAGGAACGTAAGAAATACTAGGTATACAAGTTGTCTTGGTTAAGCTCAACGATATCAGTAAGGAGTCCTTAGATGTCGTGGCAAAAGAGATAAAATGTCAAGTGTGCATTAGATGCGACATTTTATCAAACCGAGAGTAGCTTGGAGCTATTAGCAATTGGATTGCTTACCTTAAGATATTTAATGGTTAAGACAAGTCAAAGCATGCTTAGCCATTTCTTGATCTTTGGGATCTCGGAATCATTTTATTCTCGCCCATAAGGGAAAATCTTAAAATGCGTGGATAAAATGTTCAATAAGTGTGAATAAGTGCATAAACGCTTTAAAATTCAACTTATTGATGTATGAATGGTTTTTCACTTCAAATTCTTTCAATTGTAGAAACATGTCTGCAAGTAACTCGAACAACAACCAAATGTGCCTAGAACTCCCCGATAAGTTAGCCATCAAGCTTAACTTAACAAACCTTGATGAATGGGAAGAAGAACTCAGGAAAACTCTCCGGAGTTGTTCCAAGGAGTATGTTCTGGATACTTCCCTCCCAACTCTCTGTTCCAAGACCCTCTTGAGTGACGAAACTTATTGTGCATGGTCGAAAGACTGCAAATTAGTGTCACAACTCATGGCTAACTCCATCCCGGAAGAATGGAAAGAAAAACTTCCATTCTCCTTCCCAGATTTGTTCCTTGGAGAACTAAGGGATGTTGTCGGTATGAGATTCTCTAAGAGTTTCAACGACAACAATGATGGACTCTTGTTTGAAGTGACTAGGTCACATACGGACATGAATGTAAAGTCGTCGGATCAAAGTTGTCTTGCGAAAGAGAGGTTCCATCTTTGTCTACGGTCTGCAACACTAAGTTGAGACCGGGTATGCCCCTCCGACTCCATGTGGCAAGAATGACTAGGCTCTTCAAGCACATGGAACTTCTCGGAATTCCACTAGGAGATGGAATGGCTGGTCATATTTTGCTCACT